TTAATATTATAATAACCCTTTTTATACAAACTTAGTTTAATAAAGTTTTTGAACTTTGAACAGGTCAAACTTTGTATATTTTCTGGAATTTTGTTGTAAAAGCGTATACATCGCCCCAAGAATGAATTACTGACTCGATGGAGTCGAGTAACTGGTACTACTAGCTTGTGTCTGTTCCTAGTATTTACAGAATGAATATCACTTATTTTTGTAAAACTACTTTTATTTTTGTGTACGTACATTACATTTTCATAAATGTATTGAGAGGCCAAAGTTAATATATTAATTTCCTTAAATTTTTGTCGCAGCGACTCTTTAGGCTTTAAATCATAAATTGCTCTTATGGCCTTCTTTTGCAAAACAAATATAATTTCAGTGTCAGCTGCGTGTCCCCATAGCAAAATACCATACGACATTATGCTATGGAAGTAGCTGAAGTAAACTAGTCTAGCTGTTTCAACACTGGTTAGACTTCTAATCTTTTTTACAGCATATGCTGCAGAACTAAGTCTGCTTGCTAGTTTTGATATATGGGGGCTCCATTGAAGCTTCGCGTCTAGTGTGATTCCAAGAAAAATGGTGGTATCTACAAGACTCAGTTTCTCCCCATTTAAAATTACATTAGTATTTAATTGTTTGACATTTGGAGTCACGAATTTCATACATTTTGTTTTAGTGCCATTTAAATGCAAATTATTAACATCGAACCAATTTACTAATTTAGATATAGCATTATTTACTTCGTCATATTTTAGTAATTGTCGACTTAATTTGAAAATTAAAGAAGTGTCATCTGCAAATAATACTATATCATGGTTATCCCCTACTATGTAAGGTAAGTCATTAATGTATACAAGAAACAGAAAGGGGCCGAGAATTGAGCCTTGAGGCACGCCCATTTGTACCATCGATCCGGAAGAGCTCATATTGTTATTGACAACTTTTTGCGTTCTCTTACTTAAATATGAAATAATTAATTTAAGGGCATCACTTCTTACACCGTAGTGTTGAAGTTTCCTGATTAATGTTTCATGGTGAACACAATCGAAGGCCTTGGATAGGTCACAAAATATACCCAAAGCATCCTGTGAATTCTCCCATGCATTAAAGATATATTTAATCAGCTCAACACCGGCATCAGTTGTCGAGCGACCCCTTGTGAAACCAAATTGATTTTTATGAAGTAAATTATTTATATTAAAAAAATTTAACATTTGATCAAGAACAATTTTTTCAAAAATCTTACTAAGTGTTGGTAGTACAGAAATAGGTCTAAAATTGACGGGGTCTAATGTACTACCAGATTTAAATAAAGGTATTACTTTACTATGCTTCATTAAATCAGGAAACACACCAGATTCGATACTAGTATTAAAAATAATAGCTAAATGAGGCGCGATTGTATCTATTATAGACGCAATAACTTTAACGGAAATCCCCCACAGATCCGCAGTTTTACATCAATAGTTTTAAAATATTTTACAATATCTTTTGATGACACTTTATGAAATGTAAAATTCTTTGTACACACATTTACATTTTGTTTAAGTAATGATTCGGCGACGGCAGGAGAAGAATTCAGTGACTTAGTGGTCAAGATCGGAATATCAGTAAAATATTTCTCAAAAACCATTGCTACGTCCTGATCTGATACAGTTAATTTGTTGTTAACACTTAACTGGTAATTTGAATTGCGAGAGTTGATCTTACCAGTTTCGCTATTAATTATACTCCATGTCATTTTAATTTTATTGGAAGCCGTCTTAATTTTGTTGCTCAAATGCAAAGACTTGGCTATGGAGCACACTCTTTTAAATATTTTTGAATATTTTTTTACATATTCCCTAATTTCGACGCTATGATTATATGACCTTTCATGGTAAAGATCATATAACCTATGCCTGCTCTTATGGACTCCTACTGTCGCCCATTCATTGAATGACTTCCGACTGTTCAAGGAGAATGTTTTAGAAGTAAAAGTATTATTAAATTCATTGCAAATAAGCTTAAATAATGTTCCATACAAAAAATTAGGATCATTTTGGTATGAAAGTGATGGAAGTTTTTTCACTATGTTACTTCTAAATTTCTCCAAGCGACGTGCATTTACTGGAACAGACACAACTTTCTCATCTACTCGCTTTTTGTGAACATAAGGTAACGAAACTACTTGTCCACAGTGATCAGAACTTAATTTTTGAAAAAAATTAAGTTCTGATTACAAACAGATACATCTATATATTTTTGTATGTATATATGTTTATAGTATGTATATGTATAGTATGTATATGTGTTTATTCTTTTTTATCTCTTTTTTTTTTCTCTAACACACCAATTTGCCCTGCCCTTGTCATATTCGTGCAATCCTGTCCATTCATTGGTTGTCTGGAAGAAATTGCTATCAGCAATAAGACCGCCCATTGCATACTTCTTTTATATATAGAATTTCTGTAATTTATGTATGGTGTGCAATAAAGAATATTAAATAAATAAATAAATAAAATATTTTTCTAAAATAAAAGTAGCCTAAATTACTCCTACCTACATCAGCTACCTACCTACCAGTGAAAGTCCCGTCTAAATTAGTGCAGCCGTTTCGGTGATTAGCCGAAACAAACAGACAGGCAGAAATTTTAAAAATTGTTTTCATGTTATAAATATCGTATGCCGTTACAAACAGATACATCAATTTTATTTATATGTAAAGACTAGTGACCCGCTCAGGCTTCGTCGGGATAGGATCTATTAATGTAGCGTTATTTATGTTTAAGATATTCAAAGTCATCGAAAATATTAATTTTATAATAACATGCTGTTAGACAAAACGGTATTTAAGAACTATTGAAAAATTGGCTGTAACAGAGCTTCGACCATTCTGCCACCAGGGCGGCGCCACTTAGAATTGAAAGATGAAAAATTTGACAGATTTCATAGCGGGGAAAATTCATTTTTATAAAAGTGTAGAGAATAACGATTCTTTCTAAAACATTAGTTATATTTTGCAATAATTAAATAAGAAACGTGGTAGAGCCATGCTGCAGCTATATTAGTAGTATAGTTGTAGCACGAATGGGTCGGTTCGACCAGGGAAGGACCACGCTCTCACAGAATACCAGCGCAAAATAGCAGCTTAACACTGCTGTGTTTCATATGGTGAGTGTAGAGAACCGGAGACCCTTTTTACTGGAAAAGAGGCATTCCATCTTAGTCCTCCTTGACGTTTGCGTCAATGAAGTAATTTCTGTTTAATGTGGTTGTCAGATTTACTGAGAGAATTGATTTTCACAGATAAAATCGCCTTTCAATATGTAGATGAGCCTATCAAAAACGCGTCTAGACATGATTGTATACGTCGATGAAATGTGAAATATGTCGAACATAATTGGAAATTTATACTTTGTAAAATCAATTCTTTGCTCACAACGCAAAATCTTTGTATATCTTTATATATAAAGATTACGTGTCAAATTATTTGTCCGCGATGAACTCCTAAACTACTGAACTGATTTCAGATTGACAATTAAATGGTAGGTGGCGTTGTTGTCGTCATCCAGATATATATATATATATATATATATATAAGAAAACAAACAAAAACAACTCCCCATAGATTGCCTCTTAAGGAGGACAGTTACTATAATTTCCACGCTTGGCAGGCGGGTTGGCAATCGAAGTTTTTTTTTATGTTGTCATTAGGAAGACGCTGCTGCGTAAATTCTGGTTTGTTTCCCTCCGTCGCCTCTTCAACACTCACGGGACGTTATGGGGTAGTGGATATTCTTACACCGCCACGACAAGACGAACTTATCAAGTACAAATAAAATATAACTAATCTTATTCATCTTATTGAGTTCTCCACCGTTATGGTGACGATTTGCTTGAATCGGCAGAAATAGACATAGAAATGGAAACTTATTACTCAAAATAGATTATAAATAATACTTATTGAAAGGCACTCTTATGTTTTTTTTATTTACCACTGGTTCAGAAAATAACTCTGTCTTGAGAAATACCAACAACAAACCCAGTGGGACTTTTGTTTTTACATAATATTATACAATTGACTACATAAAACGAACGATACAGGAATAGGTCGGCTCTACTAAGGTAGGACCACGCTCTCACAGAATACCAGCGTAAAATAGCAGCTTAATGCTTTAGGCTATGTTCCGTATGGTGAGTGTAGAGAACCGGAGACTATTTTTGCTGGATATGCTGGATGCTGGACATCGTATCTGCATTTTGATTAGTATTCCAGAATAGGTGTAGATGTCTATGGGTTACAGCAGTCAGTTACCATCACGTGGACAGTGTGTGCTCGTTTGTCACCCTTATACTCCTATAATAAAAAACAATTTAATATGAAAACATTTAGAAACAGCATGATAACGATCACCTTATTTTCAGGGGTTATTATCAATCATTTACTCTTTAGTAGTATAATAAATAACCTGTAATAAACAATGTTACTTAGTTAAAATTTGAAACTTTTTGATATTAAAGTGTCTACATACGAATTACTAACTCCTTGGAGTCTACTAACTAGTATAATTAGCTCGAAGTTGTTCCTAGTATTTACAGAATGTCCATCACTATTTTTAATAAAATTATTTTTGTTGTTGTGTATACACATTGAATTTTCGTAAATACTAATAGGCCTTAAATACTAATAACCCTTCAAGAAAAAAGCCAGCTCCTTAAAAGGTCGGCACCGCATCTGCAATTCCCCTGGTTCCCCTGGTGTTGCAGTTGTTCATGGGCGGCGGTAGTCACTTACCATTAGGTGAGCCACATGCTCGTTTGCCCCCTCTCCTATAAAAAAAAAAAACTAATAGGCCAAAGTAATTATATATTTATTTCTTTAAGTTTTTTGTCTTAGAGACTTCTTCGGACCTAGGTTAAAAAAAAACGTCGGAACTTCTATGGCTCTCTTCTGCAAAACAAAGATAGTTTAAGATACCCGTCCACTGATCCTAACTAATACATTGTTTTTGCAACAGTCCGATGGCTGCGCGCATGGTTACTGCGTGGTATATTCGACGGCAGACCGTGGCAGTTTCGCGGAGGCCGAGAAAAGGTTGCAGGCTCTATGGGCGGCGGGACACACTTCCCGCCGCGCTGTCATACTTGTGGGCAACAAGGCCGACCTCGCACGCTCCCGTGTAGTGCCTACAGACGGTAAGTATGTTGAATTCTCAAGGTTAGGTAAAATACAATGAATTTATATATTTATGAAATATATTAAATAAAACTATTTCTTACGCATAAGTTGCGTAACTGTCTATGGACCACAGCATCTCTTACCATCAGATGAGCTGTGTGCTCGCTTGTCACCCTTATTCTATAAAATGTAGATGGAGGTGTTTATAAGCATCATTCCAAATAAAGTACTAATTTATTATTTGCCTGGCGGTGAAGGAGAAATCCTGACTAAACCTGCACGGCTTAGAAGAAAAATATTTTTAGGATATCTGCACTAGGTTGGCATGCATTGGGGGCAAGGTGGCGGACTTTTCCTTCTCCAAAACCTCTCTCAGAAATTCGAAGAGGCCTGAATACAGGACTAAAATATTTAACTAATGTTCTATGGGTGAATTCACAAAAGTGACATTATGTATTATGTTATAATAGTAGATAAGTTGTGTTCTATCCTTATTAAATTAGATAATTTTATGTGCCTACACTGTTGTATTAGGAACGCTTGTAAGATAGAGGTAGAAATAAATAAATAAATAATAGATTATTTCCTTAATTTTTATTTTACAATTCTGGTTATGGTCTTGCACCTGTTCTCTCTCCGGTCGTGTCGGATTGTCCTCCCATCGGAATAGTGAGTGCCTGTTCTTCCGCACTCGAGCACTATAATTTTCTCTTGCTCAGATGGCTAGACTCCGTTGAGACTGGCCACCGTGAGCGAAATTCGGTCTAGAATACATTATTACAAAGGCCATTTGACTGATTGGCAGAAGTGAAAAGTTACAAAGATATTAACCGCTTTGCAGAGGGCAAGACTCTCGCGACGTCATACGAATGCAAATTCATCGAGACGTCGGTGGGAATCAATCACAACGTGGACGAGTTGCTGGTTGGTCTACTGACGCAGATTCGTCTTAAGCAGCAGCACGCTGAGAGAGTCAGGTACGTATATACACATTAATATGTTACCGCTTTATACATGGTAGAGCCACGCTGTATCTACATTATGGTTGTCGCACGAATGGGTCGACTCCATCGGTATGGGATCTTGCTCTCAGAATGCCAGCGTAAAATATCAGCTTAATGCTGTTGTGTTTCATATGGTGAGTGGAAAGAACCGGATACCCTTTTTAGACTCGCCACATACATACGGGATTCCGTTTTGGGATGCCATTTGGAAATTTCGAACGGGTCGGCCAAACACATACGGAATCCCGTTTAACTCGCAAAATTTTGAACGGAAAAATACCGTACGTATGTACGGTAGGTCATAGGTTTTATATGAACTTTTAACGTTCGCAATCACGAATCGGAATCCCGAAACGGAATTCCGTATTCATGTGGCGGGCCTTACTGGAGGCTAGGCATTCTATCTTGGTCTTCACTGGTGACAACGCATCAATATTTTGATACTAAACGATTAATTACGGTAATATATAAATATTATACATTTATGTGTGTTTGTGTGTGTGATTTAAATTTGACATAGTTGCAAATGCGGTTACCTAAATGGAAAAATAAGGTTTAAAATCTCGACATAGTTACATACATTTATTTTTAGAATTAAAAACATCAAAAGCTAAAAGCACTGTACGGTTAAAGCACGTAGCGTGCACTTGTCAGAATTTCATTTAAAATACCTGTGAACAACATATATACCATGTTTTACGCAAATAAAGATTATTATTATGGGGTATTTGTATAGTTTTCTCATCTGGTTGGGCTGTATAAATATATAATTGTAAATGAAAATGATAAACTTACATAAATATCAATAAAATAAAATAAATACATAAAAATTACATAAATATATAAAAACCCAACCAGATGGAAGCCCTCGGCAGGGGAGACCAAACGGCCGAGGGTTAGGGAGAAAGGGAAAGAAACCGGCGGACGATGCGGGCGGTATCGAGGAGCACCGCCTTCTGCATTTGAGCTTGGAGCGATCCGTCACGGAGTCCCAGTCGCCTCAGATGACCCGAGAGGCTGACTGGGATTAACCCGTTCGCAGAGACGACCACAGGAATAATTTCGGCCGGCAGACCACCCCACATGTCGGTCACCTCGTGAGCCAGGTCCAGATATTTTGTCAACTTATCTGTTTCGGCTTTCACGAGGTTCTCGTCATAAGGAATGGTAATGTCGACCAAAAAGATCCTTGACTGTGCCCGGTCCATCAGCACAATATCAGGCTTATTCGCAAGAATAGTCCTGTCCGTGATGATGGCCCGGTCCCAGTAGAGCCTGGCGCGGTCATTTTCGAGCACGGCTTCCGGCAAGTAATTATAATATGGCAGTTTCCGATCCACGAGACCGTATTTCAGAGCGAGCTCCTGGTGTAGAATCCTGGCTACTAGGTTGTGTCTGTGCAAATACTCAGAGTTAGAAAGCGCCGAACAACCGGAGATGACATGCCTAAGTGACTCACCGGGATGGCGACAAGCTCGACAGATGTCGACGGCGCCATCCTTTAGGATGTATCTCCGATAATTGTTGGTCTTAATAACCTGATCCTGTATCGCACAGACAAAACCCTCGGTTTCCCCAAAGAGGTCACCGAAACGTAGCCAGTGGAGGGAGGCGACTGTGTCTACGCAAGGCTCATGTAGAGCCTTGTAGAACCTCCCGTGGAGCTCCTTCTCCTTCCATACGGTCTCCCGGTCGGAAATGCTCTGTACTGCCGGGTCTTGCCATTGCTCGTTGGCTAAGGATAGAGGGGTAAGTCCTTTATCACAAGAAATAACGTCCCTATAGAATGGATCATCCGCTCTCGTCAGAAAGTAATTACGGAGGCTGCACACTTCGCGATTATGCATGGTAAGCGCGCTTAAAAAGCCGCGCCCACCATGCTTCCGCGGCAAGTACAGCCTCATTACTGACGATCTCGGATGATGCATCCTGTGGGACGTCATTATAGTGCGGACTTTTCTGTCCAGAGCGTTCAGTTCGGTCTGAGTCCACCTGAGCATGCCAAAGGTATACATGAGAACAGGCATGATCCAACCGTTATATGCATGTGTCTTATTAACGCCCGACAAAAGACTGTTGAGCACTTTTGTCAAGCGTGCATAAAACACACCGCAAACTGACCGTTTCATGTCCGCCTCATCGATACCTATGTTCTGTGACATACCCAGGTATCGGTATGTTTCAGCCTCGGATAGGGTCTTTATGTTGATGGGCATAGATAAGTCTATGCCCTCAGAGTTAGCAACCCTACCCCTTTCGACATGGAGGATCGCACACTTATCCGTCCCCAGCTCCATTCTAATAGAATTGCTAAAATCACAAGTGATGTTTAGCAATTCCATAAGGTGAGAGCGACTAGAGGCGAATAACTTGAGATCATCCATATAGAAAAGGTGGGTCACTTTTGTACCTCCTCTCCGAAGCTGAAATCCCCTCCCGGAACCCTCCAGTAAGGTACTAAGAGGGTTCAGAGAGAGGCAGAACCAGATTGGACTCAGACAATCGCCCTGGAAGATACCCCTTCTTATCCTTATGTGGTTCTCCGCAGCCGTCATCCGCTCGCCTAGATGACAAAGGATCGTACTCCACTGCCCCATACACTGCCCGAGGAAGTCTCGAACTGTACAGTCAACCTTGTACAGCTCGAGGACCCTCTTCAGCCATGTATGAGGCACCGAGTCGAATGCCTTTTTGTAGTCTATCCAGGCAGCGGAGAGGTTCCGACGGTTGCGTTTAACCACCTTGCCAATGACCGCGTCAATGAGGAGTGGTTCCTTGGTTCCACGACCGCCGCCCCGACATCCATTTTGAGCGCGCGACATCACCTGATTTGAGTTCAGGTGACGAGTGATTCTCGCGCTCAAAATGGATGTCAGTGTCTTGTATATGGTAGGTAGACGCGTTATGGGGCGGTATTTGCTCGGGTCTGTGGAATCTCGGTCTTTAGGAACCAGATGAGTGATCCCAGTAGTGAAGAGGCTCGGGAGCGACTTTTGGTCGAGAGCCTCTTGAAACTGTCGGGCGAGAACAGCGTGACACACCACGAACCCCTTCAGCCAGTAGTGATGCAGTCCGTCGAGTCCCGGACTTTTCCAGTTCGGGGCCCTACGGACCGCCTCAGCTACGTCATCCGGCGTAATGATGACGGGGTCCATGGGCGTAACATTCGCACACTGACTCGCCACAACTTCCGTCCAAGGGCCCTCACTGTGGTTTACGGGCTCTGACCACAGGCCGCGCCAGAATGCGATAGTGTCGGCCTGATTCGGTGCTGGGCCCGTTCCACGTACCATTGGTCGCTCCAATGATTCATAGAGCCTCTTCTGATCACTCTGGAAGAGACGATTCTGGTTGAAACGTGTTGACCTCTCGGTATATCGCCGAATCCGCTTCCCCCAAGCAGCGATTCTCTGCTTCAGGTCGTCTATGCGCTCCGTCAGTTTTTGCGTTATATCCGGCTGGGACAAACATCAGTTTGCAAACGCCATCCTGACGGTGCGCACAATTCTCGGCCTATTATTGCCCGACCTGAAGCTTATCAGCCTGCCGATGAGGGCCCTTGCCTTTGCGATACGGTCCTCAATTCTTCTTCTCCAGGCTGGGATGGCGCTACTTTGTCTAATAGCGCGTCCAGCCTTGGGAAGTTTGGCGCCAATAATACGGCAAACTGCCAGTGCGGCGCCAAAAAGAATTGAGTCCGTCTCGCAAAGGTCCCGGCTGGCTTCCAAATAGGTCACCAGCATTGGGTTGAGAGCCCTCACGACAGCCCGATTCCGCTTGCTTAGGGGTATACGGGGAAGTCGCGGTCGATTCTCGAGGGGCGTACTGCGCGTTTCCCTAATCGCCTCTTCCACTATGCTCCTCATTTGCTCTAGTTCTGGGGCGACTATTCCATCGTCGCCTGAGTCAACTACAAGGAGATCAACGGCGGCATCTACATGTGCGGGTTGCTCTGCAACTCGTAGAGCCGCATCTCCTGTCGTAGCATTTTCATTCGACAAAGGAATAGCCTCACGTCGTAGCCGTTCGAGTTCGGCGTCATCAAATATTTTTGAGCGCATGATGTACCGAACTCGGTCTGCCAGATTTTGCTCGGTAACGGTAATAGATGGCTCCAGCTCAGCAAATAGTCGGTGCATCCTAGCCCGATACCCAAAACCTCCAATTTCTCTCCCTTTCGCCCCAAAATACGCCCGCAATGCATTTTTATTCATTTGCATTGACCAACGCATGCGGCGTACTCCACCAGTGGCGGGTGCTGATTGCTGGGCCAACGAAGACCCTGCCAACACCAAGCCTGCTAGTGGGGATGATGGATGCGAGGGGCTGCTGGGTGATCGTGCAGCACCTCGCGGTCGACTGGCGGTTCGCATGCTGCCGCGTCCAGCGCCAGCTCCAGACGCGCCCTGGCGACCTCCAGGCAGCGGCCCTTTGCGCGTATTTCTTAGTTCCATCATCCATTAGTTGGGCGTCAGTTAACGGGAGACGCCCAGACCCGGCACCGTTTCATGGTGAGGCCATGTGCACAATCGGGCCTTTGCACCTCCAATTTTGCCGAGGCACGGCGCTAACACCTCTTGGCAAGGTGCTGACTGACTGCGCTGACGTAGCAGTTTTGTCACATAACCGTTACGTCAGCGGGCGATGGGGTCGTCACTTCCCTACGCCTATTTATTATTATTATTATTATTATTATCATTTAAAGCCTTATGAATGTGTAAATTTACCACTGGTTTTAAATAAAATCATATTGCAGTAAAATTGGCCAGTACTCTATACTGGAGTTTCCTCTTCTTTTTTTTCTTTTTTTATTTTATAACATAACATGCTTTCATTGCCTATACTGAGTTTACTTCTTTTATAAAAAATATGATATCACTGGCTTTTAAACAAATAGCAAAAATAAATAAGATATCTGCGGAGTTCGTATAATCTCCGTTTCTTAAACAATACAAACACTCACGCCTGTCACCCAGAGGGGTAGGCAGACACTACGGACTTCCATTTGGCGCGATCCTGACACACCTCTCTCGCCTCGTTTACATCCATATATTTACGCATATACGCTCGTCGGTTAAGGGTACTCCTAATCTGGCCCATTTTCAATGTATCACCGATTTGGTCGATAAATCTTCGTCTAGGGCGTCCCTTCCCGACTTTGCCGTTCACTTCTGAAACATAAATTTGCTTTGTCACTCTTTACTCGTTCATTCTTTCTACGTGACCAAACCACCGAAGCATTCCTTTTTTAATCCTAGTCACAACGTCACCTTGGAAACCACACTATTCTCTTATCACACTATTTCTCACCCCGTCATTTAGATTCAGCCCTATCATACTCCGTAATGACCGCATTTCTACAGCCTTTATTCTACTCTCATGCTTCTTCTGCCATACCCAACTTTCACTACCATACATTAAAGTAGGGACTAACACACCATTATGAATTGCCATACGTGCCTTCTTTGACACCTTCTGACTCTTCATAATAGCGTGTAGAGCCTCATTAACTCTATTTCCTGCGTTCACTCGTCGTTCTATATCCTTGTCATATCTACCATCCCTGCTAAATAAACATCCCAAATATACAAACTCATCCACTTGCTCAATCAACTCCCCTTCTATTCTTATTTCACATAACGTTTTACTTTCTTCTCTTTCAAAAACCATCACTTTCGTCTTACTTGCGTTCACTTTCATACCCGTTTCTTTTAATGACCAGTTCATTAAATTAACCATCATTTGCAACTCGGCCGCCGACGATGCAAATATGACTTGATCATCGACGTACAAAAAACATTTGACTGTTAACTCACCCATTCTCAACCCACATTCTTCAACTTTCAAAGTTTGCAAACAACTGTCCATAAATAGGTTAAACAGCCACGGAGAAGCTACACAATCCTGTCTGACACCTTTTTGAATGCCAAACCAGTCCGGGTATGCCCCGTTGATCCTGACACAAGCACTAGAGTCCCTATAAAGAGACTTTAATGCCTGTATCAGACCAGCGCTCAACCCAAATGAGGTCAGTGTTTGCCATAACACGTTCCTGTCCGCTCTGTCATAAGCCTTTTCCAAGTCCATGAACGCACAATAAAAATTTCTGGTTTTTGGCCAAAAATTTCTCCGCAATCATGCGCATGGAAAAGACTTGATCCGTACACCTCATCCCCTTTCTAAATCCAGCTTGCACATTCCAAATTTTTCCATCAGTTTCTTCCATAACTCTTTCAATGAACACCTTAGCATACAGTTTACCCACAATGCTAAGCAAGCTGATACCACGGTAGTTTTTACAGTCCAGCTGCGACCCCTTTCCCTTATATATTGGGACTATAACGGCTTTGCACCAGTCTTCCGGTACCCGCTTCAGTTCCCAATATATATTAAACAAGGTGTACAGCAGGCCTGCAACCACACCCTCTCCAGCCCTTAGCATTTCGAGTGATCCTCTATTATATCCGGCTGCCTTACCTGCTTTCATGCTTTTCATTGCTTTCACTATTTCATCTACACTCTTATCTCCCTACATCTATCCACTTCTTCCGAAATTTCTATTTCACTTAATTCAGACGACTCTTCACTCTTAAACACGCTTTCAAACTATTCCTTCCATCTCTTTAAATTCGAAACTTCATCATTCAGCATGCAGCCATTCTCGTCTCGTATAGCATTCATACTAGGCTGTTTTGAATTTCCCCTGGCAGTTCTTAGGATTTTCCAAAACATTTTAATATTTACATGGAAGTTATCAGATATTCTTCTATCATTCTTATCTATCCTTTCTTGCTTTTTCTTTTCAACAACTACTTTTACTCTCTTATTTATACATCTAAAGTCTGCCTTTTTTCTTTGAATCTCATCATTCATACCGACAGAATTACCAGCTTTGGTTGCTAGTAAATCTAGCCATGCCCTCTTCTTTGCTTCAACTTCCATCCGTACCTCATCATCCCACCACAACGTATTACTTTTCCTTTCATTCGTTCTCTTACTTACACCACACACTTCGGTGGCTGTATCCACCAAAACTTTCTTAACATTATTCCATACATTCTTCAAGTCTAAATCATTCATACAAAATTCATTCAACACACTTATATTTTCCCTCAGTCTGCATTTATACTTCTCTTTCACACCTTCATCTTGTAACCTCTCTATTCTTATACGCTGTAACGCAGTGGTAGACACAGATGTCCGATGCCGCCAACGCTTGAATAGACCATTAATTCGGCATAAGACCAAGTAATGGTCCGTCCCTACGCTGGACCCCCGGTAAACTCTTGTATCTACCACTGCGCTCCTCATTCTTCCATCCACAATTATGAAATCTATCATGCTTCTATCATCCCCTCTTTCCCATGTATACATGTGAATCCTCTTATGGCGAAAGAAAGTGTTCGTCGCAAAAATATTCTTTTCCACACATATGGTGAGGATGTCTTCACCTTTCTCATTTATTCTTTCATCGCCAAACGCTCCTAATATCCTTTCATAACCAGACCTCTTCACCCCAACACTTCCATTAAAATCTCCTAACATAATAATATTTTCATTTTCCTTACATTTCGTCAACACCAGCCTTACCATGTCCCAAAACTGCTCTCGGATATAAGTGGGCTTAGACATATCTGGGGCGTGCACCGCAAGCACAAACAACTTCTTTAAGCCCACTTTCATTCGTATCCACAGCAGCCTTGGGCTTACACATTCATACTTTTTCACACATTGACCCATTCTTTCTGAAAAAATGACATTGAATCTCTGGCATGCCCGCTCGGTCTCGCCTATACTAGACCAGTAAGCGGTATACATGCCATGTGCAGTGACATCTCTTCCCTTTCGTTTTGTCTCATTCACACATAGCACAACTATTCCTCTATCATTCATCATTTCGCATATTTCATCCATCTTATCATTCATTGCTCCACATACATTCAGCGTAGCCAGACGGGCCTCTGTAATCCACTTTTCGCCCCTCCGGGAGACAGGACGTGACGGGTGGCGAACCTCGTCGCCGTTTCTTCTCCTAGTAAAAAATCTAATATCGAAGCCTACTAAAACGGTAGTAGGTTAAAAACATTGTGAAGTTTTTACAAAGATGAATTATATATTTTTTAAGTTTTTTTTGTGGAATTATGGTGACAAGCAGGCACACAGTCCACCTGGTAGTAAGTGGATGCTGTAGCGCATAAGCATCTATTCTCAATCAAGGATCAAAAGGCAGATGCATTGTCACTCCTCATGACTAAAATAGAATGCCTTGTTTCCAGTAAAAAAAGGTCTCCGTTTCTCTGCACTCACTATACGAAACACAATAGCATTAACCTACCTACTATGTTATATTATGCTGCTGGTATTCTGTGAATAGTTTCATTCATCATTGTCAATCCTTCCAAGAGCTTGACCCAAATATGACAGACTGGTGCTGAAAAAAAGCATCACCGAACTCGAACTGCAGCCAAAAAAATGCAGATGCCAGTGTTTGTCACTCCTGAGCACTTAGATAGAATACACAGCTCCCAGTTCCCAACTCAAACATAGCAGCTTAATGCTGCTATCTCACGTTGGTATTCCGTGCGAGTGTAGTTTTCCGGTCAAGTCAATCGTGCTGCAGCGTTGGTCTGATGTGAGCGCCTGAGACATGATGTGTACGAGTGTAATTCAATATTTTTAATTGCACCACTTGTTTTATAAAATTTAAATACGCATATTATATAAAATTAAGCGCCACGTGATGGTAAATGGCTACTACAGTTTGTGGTCACCAGCTGCCATCTTCAAACGATGTATACAGACTAGATTTATGCCAGACATTAAAATAGCCAGACCGACGAAGAAGAGGAGTGGCGTCAAATATCGAAGACGACCTGCGTTTCAACTTAGGCCAATTATTATTAATTTCCTATATAACAAATGAAGGAGAAGAAAGGAGCAGTTGCATTTTCATTTTATTAATTTTAGGAAACGTAGTGCAACACGCAAGCCACGTGGACGCGCGCGCTCTCCGGCTGAAGGCGAACCCCCTTCGGCTGCCTCCACCCCGAGGAAACGAACGCGTCTCTCAGCTAGTGTAAAGGTAACAAATTGTATTACAATGTATTGCTGCATTTATAAGAGCAAACATTCAGACCCGAAACAATTACTTGTAGGCCGTACAAATACTTGTTTCGTATGGGATATGAACCCGCGATCTAAGCGCGCTGTTTTCACAGTACGCGAGCTAACTGGGTTCTATCATCACAGCCACTGCGCCCGGAAGTTGGATGTAGGTATATAATAATAATAATAATAATAATAATTTATTGATCCCAAAAACACTTTACATAAAACAAAACCTTATAATATTTATATAATTAAGACTTAATCCAATTCAATACTATAATTATGGTATCTTTAGCAACTGTGCTAGGTCACAGACCTGTGTTACAGCTGCTAAGCTCTCCCCTTTTAATACATGCGAAATAGAATAACAAAATCATAAAAAACACATTTTATATACGACGATTCATAAACGATGTAAAGTGGGTAGACGTAAAACAATTAGTTAAGTAAAAAATCCGACAAATGGTTCAATAACATTGTGGCTGTATGTACTAAAAGATTAGTTGTGTGGTACAAGATCAAGGCAGAAGCGACATGTTATAAATATTTCACACACTTATTGATATTATAGCAAACTCTTACAAGAACTTATTCTAGATTCCACATAAAAATAATTGTTACAACTAGTGTGTTGTGACTCAAATAATATTACATTTCCTTAAAAAAAACATAATAATAAAAAAAGCAAAAGGATAATAAGTAAAATGTTTTATAGTATGTAATAATTTATTAATCCTAACCAATATTATAGGCTTAAACTATGAAATAATATATAGGCTTTAACTTTATAAAATTACATTCAATAATTTATTACACCCTATCAAAAATCCACCGCTGAACATAGAACTCCTCCATAGATTGGTATAACAGATGAGAATTTTTTTAGCGTCCCAGTAATGTGTTCACCTTTTTATATATAAATATCATTGGGTGCGGATGACAGTTCACTAAAACGTAACTTGCGTGCGCTTGCAAGATACGACAAAGTTAATAACTACAAGAAAATCACACTATATTTCTTTTTATTAATTTTTCTATTCTGTTATGACTATAAAATTAACATTAACTTCAAAAAATCTCACCTTATATAGTTTTTAATACGGCTAACAGGTTAATTTATTTCACTTGCATGCGCAGTTACATACTACGCTTACTAGGGGTCATTTATTTTTAATTAAGTATAAACAAGCGAATACAATCCTAGCTTGAGTTTGACAAAAAATAAGTAAGATAGTTAATTCTATTTTAGAATGTATGTCGCAATATCGTCATATTCATGTATACTTAATTTAAATAACTTATGATTCATGTACTGATAAACAAATAAATAGAAAAGGTGGTAAAATGAACAAAAATAAATTAAATAATTTTATACTCTTGTCTGCTAAACACACTTTAAAAAATTAACACTTTCCTCTAAGTCTAGAGACCTCTTACGAGATTCACGGGATGATATGGATATTCATACACCGCAACTACAACACGGTAATTGATAACTTCTCAAAACATTTTATTTAGGACAACGTCTTGCAATCGTCTTTTCTCGAGCGCTCACTTGACCTTCATAGAAATAATGTGATATTTTAATTGTTTATATTTTTTTTTATTTTTGGATAATAACAAAGTAAGGACTCTAAATTATATTTAACTTCATTCAAAAAATATTGTCTTTGGCCTGATCTACTATACTCTTTGGCTTGACCATAGGTTTGACTAAGTTAGTGGTGGTAAATGTCGCGGCCTGAGTGGTTAATTGAATCGCTTTGTAAGCTGTCACCCGCACTATGCTACAACGCAAAAACTACAGTTAAATGTTTTTATTTATTTATTTATTCTTTATTAAATCTTACTCAATGTATAGAAAAAAGTGGCGGACTTAAGGCTATACCCCGACCAAAACCTTGCGATAGTGCATTTTTCAGAGACTATTATCTCATTAGTAATGAAAAATAAACTACACCTAAAAGCACATTATTAATGTTCGATATGCTATCATCACATTCCAAGTTCTAATTTGTTTTTAAGTGTTATAAATACATTTAAAATCTACTTTTAAAAATGATTAAAATTATTGATTACATGCATTTGTTTCTAAAGGCAACGGTCTAATCATTTGTGAATTACACTAATGGATAGATAATTTAAAAACATATATTCTTTACGTTTTATTTAATTTTTAAAGTTCGTTTTTCTTTTTTAATTAAAATAATTCCAAAAATTGTGTGAATTCTGTGATAAAGCGGCGTACGTCTAAAGAGTGAACGAATGCTCAAGGTTATTTAGTCAGGGAAACGCCTTAATACTTTTAGCGTTCTCTGCCTTAACCTTAGTTAAAATTATACTCGTTAATAAAAAATTCCCCTCCCGATAGCATTTGATTTGCATATAATCTAAAAGAAATAATGAATCATTCACTCACAGTTCTTTATAATTTACTGAACTGTTAGTTCATTTACTTTAGATTTATTTAAAAGAAAAAACAACTGATAATACGATTTTTTTTAAAGTAAAGGATTCCAAACCAGTGTTGCCAGTGGAAAACATTTTATAACATTTATAACTTTTCAGGTCCGCGGTCTGTTAGGCCGTGTATGGGCCCGCGACTCCAAGTCCAAGTCGTGCGAAAACCTGCACGTCCTCTAGCACTCAGCCGCCGAGCCCGTCGCTTGCTTCCCCTTCTTCGACTGCGCCACTGATTACTCTTAAGCATCACCAGATTATTTACATCTGGACTACCAAGGGAAATGAACGAGGGAAAGATTATTTTCTACTATTAAAAAAATCCATACACCTGTTTTTTTTATGAATTAAGCATTTCTCAATAGTTGACGTCATTATAATTGCGTATATTATGTTATTTTTATATTGGAGTGTTATTTTAAACGTATTTAAAGAAGCTATTTGAAGTATTTAATAATGATATACACTCGTTCATTTTTCTTCAATGACAAAACTGAATTGTACAATGTGCTAGTGAAATATTTTACCATATAAAAATAAAAAAGAAACATTTATAATAACACGCCACAAACATCATTAGGTACTTTTGACTTTTAACATTAAAAAAAAACAACAATTTGTCGGAGTAAACATTTTAAAAAGTATTTATGGTTATAAATTACAGTAAAAATACGTTCCTCGTGATGTGTGTTGTGACGCGTTAGGCAGACAAATGAATTTAATTTTAACTACTGTATAACTCCTTAATGTTTAAAAATTCTAAAATAGAATGTTCTTTGGTAAAATTTTGAATCAGATACGTCTTCATCCGTGATTCAGTTTCAGTAGCACATTCTAAGCAGCTTTGCAAATATTTAAAACTGCCTCAAGCCATGCAATTAAGGTGTTTTATAATGTAGCGCCCAAATAGAAATCCTTTAGTAGTCCATTTATAAATATTTCCATAGATGTCCCGAATTACAGTAGTATTTGTAGTGCTGCCAGCCTACGACTATAAAAATTACAGGTTTTTTTTTGGTGCTAGCTTCAAGGCTTTCTGCCAAAAATAATACTTTAAACGATTTTATTTATTTGATAAAACATTTAAATGTTATTTAATACCAAATTTAATACCAAAATTCAAACGATACTCAATTTTAAGATGGCGTTAAGTCTCGTGCTGTCTCTATCACTTTAAGTCAAAGTGACAGTGACACCGCGAGACTTAACGACATCTTAAAATTGAGCAACGATTCAGTATTTGGCCATAACTCTCATATAAATCAAATCAATTTAACCAAATCCCATCTTATAAAAGTTTCTAAACAAATTCTATCTCTATCTATTCTATCTCTAAAAAAATTTAAAAGCATTCAGTTATCAAGAAAACAAAGCTTAAAGCTAATTTCTATTGCCTCTGTTATTATACTAAAATCTACGGAAGATATATTATATTCCTAGGCTGGCAGCAAATTTTAATATATCATATTTATAATAAAATATATTCACAATCAAATTTGGAAATATATTAAAGTTTTATGTAATGAATAACCAAATATAATTTGAAAGAGCTTTTTGCTGGATTAAAAGGGATGTCGATGGGCCGGCGGTTCCGCTTAAAATTAACTAAACTTATAAACAATTAAAATTTATACGATCAAATTATTAAATAATTTAAGAAGTTGCTGGACGAAAATGTCACACTAAATAAAAAAAATATTATTAAAAATAAAATGTCATTTAAAAAATATCCAATTATCATGTGATTAGCAAAACTAATTCAAAAGCGAGTGACTCTCTTTGTTATATTACACAAATGTACGTATAATATGTTCCTGGCAGCAAATTTTAATGAATCATAGTTAAAATAAAAATGTATTCATAATCAAATATGGAATTTGATTAAAGTTTTATGTGCAGAATAATTGAGATTAATCTGAAAGTGCTTTTTGCTTGATTTAGAGGGATAACGACGGGTTGGCGGTTCCACTTAGCAATTTATAATTTATAATTTGTATTTATATGATATGACAATTAAATTATTTAAGAAATTGTTGGACGTAAATGTAACAGTAAAAAAAATACTAAAAAACATAGTTAAAAATAAAAATTTAACACGGAATGACCAAAATTAGATTGATGAAAATAAACCCATAAAAAGTTGGAAGTTAAGAAATATCTTTAAAAGTATGTTCCATTTAACATTAATATTTTTAACAAAATGATCTCCATTAAATGGATAATGAATAATCTATAAAACACTTAATGATCACTTTAATATTTTAATACGCATGTATAGTGTGCAAAAAAATTCTGAATATATTCTAATTTTGAAAAATTCATTTACCATTCTTTTTTTCTGTCGCAAGATTTAAAAAAAAGTTAATAAAGGTAAACAAACAATAAAATTGATTATGAATAAAAAATAAAAAATGTGTTAAAATTTTTGTCCTAAAACTTTTCACAAAAATTCCTTTTGGAAAAAATATTCTGAATAAAAATACTAACTAACCTTAAAACGTAACAAGTATTAGTAGATAATATAATGTAGTTACTTTAAGTAAATGTGATCCCACTGTGTCTCATTAATGTTTATATAACACCACTTATAGATTATAATAGCATAATAGTTGAAGTATTTCATTAATCAAATCGTATATACTCCACTCTACTATATCAGCCCTTGATGAGTCCACAACAAATGAATATGAACCTTTCCTAAAGTAGGGATAAGGAGATTTAATTATGTATACAGATAGAATAGCGACCTTGGATCTCGTTAATTTCAATAAAAAGGTCGTCTTTTCATCTTTGTAGTTGAACATATAAATGATTGATCTGTATATTTTTTTGGTATTCTCAATCGAGAATTTACACCGAGAATTACGAATATTTCGAGTATTTTAGCAAGAAATTTGGTAACCCTATTTCAAAGCCATTAAAAATATATTTGATTTTTTCTTTATTTTTTCATACCATGGAGTCGCTTACATTTCGGCATCTTTTTGCTGGCATTTTAATTATGAATTCACCTCGTATAATCAGTCGTTGACAACCTTTTATTAAGTTCAATAAAATGGAATAATTTATTCCATTGTTCGTGTTTTACTTTACTATTGTTTTATTATATTTACGTATACACCCGTTGACGATGCCATAAAAAATGAAAATATAATTAGTACCAGATAATTAAAGCTATTTTCAAATTTCCTAAAGGAACTATATCCGCGACTAGTCGTCGCTGCTGGTGATAAGAGGGCTGGTTTTTTGCACGCTCAAAGACTAAATATAGAGCCATTCAGCGAGGAAACGCAGCCAGTGTTCTTGGCACGATACCACGGGGAATAGGACTGTATAATAATTTAAGTTATTAGCTTTAGTTTTTTTTTGTCATAGTATTTTACATATATCTTTGACTGCACCGTAATGTAAAAAATAAAACAGCGAAATGTTTAAATAAGCCCAATATTTGAAACAGGAATTAAAAAACCGGACAGTGCAAAAAAATGTAGAGAAAAGAAAATTTTATACGCTATGTCACTTACACAACTACGATGAATCTAACGAAATCTGATATATTAAAATACATCAATCCGTTTAGGTTACAGAGCGTGCCAAAGAAATATACCTACATACATACAAGCATAAAAAATACATTACCCTGCTTTTAGAACAACAAATAAAAGTCAATATCATATTATTCTAAACTAATAGCAACATTCTGTGTAAAATTAAGTTTTTTTTGTCATATGGAAGCGATAAAAGAGAATCCTTCACCTCATTTTATCTCGTGGTATATACTCGAAATGTAAATATAAACATCTCATAAACGCTGGGGTCAAATTAACTAGACTGCCTATGTGAGGCAGTGTCAATGATGCGAAACGTCTGGTAATGATATCGTCAATTAATCTACCGAACGACACGTTAAAGGCAAATCCCCACTACAATGGAAGACACCCATGTCTTACGGTAGACATTTATATGTTAGGGAAGAAGTAGAAGAAGTAGAAGTATAACATATCACTTCCAAGATTTTACTAATAGCTAGTAACGAAAACTAAGCTATCATTCTCTGAAGCGTGCTGCAAGGTGGCGTTTTGGGAACATCAACGTTGTTGCTGTGCATCTATATCATTTTTGTAGGCATAGACGAAGTTTTTGGGACATCTTTAACCCTGTAGACCCTTTCCTAGCGATAAATAAAGCATCTACGTTGTGTGTAACATTAATAAGGCCAAAACCCTTGTCACTAAACTATAAAATATAAATGACTGTTATTTAATTTATTGTGACATCGTCATCGCGAAACGATTAATAATTTATATTATGTAATGAATAAAATTACATGTGGTCTCCGCTAATGACATGAGAGCTGGTTCTTTTCGGCCTGCTGCTCTTAACTGCAGGGAGAAGGACTGTATTTTAGTTTAATATGACATTTTATTTCCCTATAGCTATTCAAATTCCTTGCAGATACATCTACTATACTATGTTAAACACTGGCTGCCCACGGTGCAATAAAATGGGGAAACAAGAAGGCGCCCGTTGCGCTCTCTGTCGCACTTATGAGCCTTACGACTGGTTTACGGTTACCAGCCCTTTAAAAAGCAGTAAATGCTACAGAGTGTGCAACAGGCGGCGTCCTATTCCCCATTTTATTGGACCACAGGCAGCGAATGTTTAACATTACTATAATTATTACGTACTACGCGTTCATTTCGAGTTTACCATCGCTGACCGTTATGACGTCACAGCTGACCGTACCGTAGACAAAACTATTATTGTAAGTGTTTTAATTATTGTACAAAATTCGATTTTAGTTAGTTGTCCTGTACATAGAAATGGAGGGCAAGCAAGTAGATAAAATAAATATTATTGAATAATTTATTTAGTTAGTAAAATAAAATAATAACACTGAGTAGAAACGTGTCCGATAAATTAAAATATTTTTATTATAATTTAATTATATATCCTAAATAAATTATTTACGAAGGCGCGAAAAAAAACTGGTAGGTAGTTATTTGTAATCCATAACTTCCATACCAGTTATTTTATCAAAATCGTTCGTCCCTGTATCACTGCCATCACCACATTCTGTGTATATCACAAATTAACGAACTTAAAAAGTCAACCGAAACAAAAAACAACAAAAACAGTAACAAAAAAGAGATCGCACGGGAGCACAAACAACGGACGTAGAT